GCTAAAAAAAGCTTTTTCTCACAGATACTTTTATGATTACTTTAGAGACCACCCCCCTGGTTTCTTACCCATAATTCCTTTGTTCTGTGCAGCTTTTACAGACTCTTTAAGCTCCTGGAAATCTAGTGGGCCACCTCCAACTCCTTGTGTGTTGGAGCCTGTTCCTCCCTGTAGGAGCGCTATTGGGTAAAATCTAGGATGACTCTCACCCTGGTCCTTTGCTACCCCTGACTCAAGGCCGTGCATCATTATCCTAGCTGGTGCCCTTCACTTCTTCCCTGTAGATTTATGCGCTATGTATTTATTTTGACAGTTTTCCAGCAGGTGGCAGTAAAGTGTTTTGTCCAAATTAATACAACTTTTTCCAGTGGAAGAAAGTGAAACGTCTGGAAGAAGTTTTTTCTTCATGGTGCTGGTTAGGTGACCCACACCTGCTCCACAGGAAGTTCTGTGAACTTTTTGCCTAAATGACTGTGGGAACACAGACCCATCCCAGCACAGCTCCAGTACTACTTGCTCTGCTGCCAAAGCAGCTGTCACCCCCACCACTCCCCTCTCACTGCAGGAGACCCCTCTAGGACTGGGAGTGGTTCTGTGGAAGGCACCTCCCTCAGCCTGAGGTGAGAAGAATCACAAGGCACCAGCAACACTCCCCAAAGAAACCCTCCTCTATTCCAACTTGACCTTTAATAACTGATTAGATTTAGTTATCTTACTGCATTTAGCTAAATCCTCTGGAATTGCTACAGAGGGTCCATGTCAGAACTCACTTTAATGAGTTTTGGGGGAAGGGAGGATGTTGTTGTTTATAATGTCTTGGTGCTTCAGTTACTAAAGCAGTTCTTGAGCCACCTGTGGTGGCCTCCCCTGTAGTCTCCTGAAGCTGAGGCAGGAGAATCGCTATAAGTTTGAGGCCACTCTAGCCTACCTAGGGAGTCCAAGGCCAGCCTGAACTACATAGGAAGACCCTGTCTCACCCCCACAATTTTTCACTCCTCCCAAAACAGAATTTTTCACTCTGCTTTTCTATACTGCTTTTTTTTTTCTCTCTCTCTTTTCTATACTGCTTTTAGAAGCCTAAAGAAGTCTCTGGAAATATTTTGGTTCTATATCTAGATTTGATTTGATTTGGTTTGATTTGATTTGATTTGATTTGATTTTTGTCTGTTTGAGACAAGGTCTTGCTATGCAGTTCAGGCTGGCATTGAGCTCACTTTGAAGGCCAGGCTGGTCTCAAACTCGCAATGATCTTCCTGCCTCAGCCTCCCAAGTGCTGGGATTACAGGCATGCACCACCTTGCCCGGCTTATATCTAGATTTTTTTATTTCTAGGGATAAGGCCATGTCTAGAAACCCTTCTTGGCAGATCGTGCCAAATACTTGTCCATTTGTTTGTTTGCTTTTTTGCTTGGTGCTAAGCATCAAAACCAGGCTAAATATGGCAGGTATCTACCATAAGCACCCCTAGCCCTTACTCTTTTTGAGTCCTCTTTTTTTGTTTGTTTTGTTTTGTTTTGTTTTGTTTTGTTTTGTTTTGTTTTGTTTTGCTTTGAGACAGGGTCTCACTTTGTAGTGCAGCCTGGCTTTGGACTCACTATATATCCCACGCTGGTGGCAACCCTCCTGCCTCAGCCTCGTGAGTGCTGGGATTACAGGGGTGTGCCACCATGCCCAGCAGGGTTTTTTTTTTTTAAGAACTTCTGAGCCTCAAAAGTTACCATAAATCCAAGCACACCGCTTCCCTAATTAGAAGCATGTTTACACTGCCTGCTTACAGAATGGGACAGCTATAAATAAGGCCAGGAAATATGCAGTTGACAGTGGAGGAGGGCTACTGCATAGGGGGAGGAGGTTTTGATGACTGACTGTTACAGAACCTTAGAATGCTATCAGATTCAACCCAATACAGCTAATCCACTTTCTCTTTTTTGAAGTACTCGTACAAACTGTGAAGAAAGGACTAAAACCCCATCAAAATTAAAATCTGGTAAAAAGAGAAGCAACTCACCATGAGTAGCATTGCTGGCTCTTCTGAGGAAAGCTCTGGAAATCTGTCTGTGCCACTTTGTCTAGGAAGTGGCACATTGTGCCAATGTGCAAGAATGCATGTTCTTCATAAACAGAAAAACATTACTAGCTGCAAAGGGAAGAAACTGTTCCAGAGTGTACAGATCCCACGCCAGCATCCAAAATAATGGCCAAGACTGTTCTGATCTTAGCAACTCAAAGTAACCTTTGTGTCACTTACTTATTCAACACATTTCTTGAGCAACTAGTATGGGCCGGGCACTGTACCAGGGGATATAGTCACCATTTGTGTCCTGAAAAACTTCATCCTACATATCTGTGAAATAGAATCCTTTTGGAATAAGACCAAAGTGAACACGATTTCAGCTGTCTGTGTTCACGCCTGAACCCTCTGGTGCCAGTCGCATCCAGGTTGGGAAATTGAAACAATTGACAGTAACTGTCATACATGCCAAGTCCACATTTTTGGCCTGATAACTTGGAATTCAATGTATGATAATAATGTAAGCCAAAGTGATTGTTAGTTATAAGGCTAATTTGTTTTGATTTCTTGATTAAATTCCTATAGTCAGCTAGTACTTTTTCCACAATCAAATTTTATTGGTAGACATAAATGGTAAAGAGGCCAAGTATGGTAGCACAGACCTATAATCCCAGCAC